TGGCGACGGCACTGCGGACGCACCCGGGGCGAAAGTGAACGCTGGCATCGAGGCAGATTTTTTCCGAGGAGGGCGGCTATCAGTTGCCGGCGCCGGTCTGCAGATTGGGACGTGGAACGTGGAGGGTTTCACTGAGGCCAAACTTGTCGAGCTCCAGATGCATATGAAATCATATGGGATAGATTTACTTTGTCTCCAGGAGACACACAAGCCGAAATCGGAGTACACGGTCACCGAGGAGGGCTTCCTGTTGATCTTCTCGGGGGCGTCCGCCGACGACGTCAACGAGACGGCAGGCGTGGGATTTCTGATATCACCAAGATTGCGCCGAAGTGTCGTCGGCTTTCGGCAGGCATCTTCGAGAATGGCTTCTTTAAAGCTGAGAGTTGTTGGTGGCAAGATTCTTGTGTGCAGCGCTTACGCCCCCCATAGCGGGAAGCCGCCATCGGAGAGGCAGACATTCTTTCAAGAGTTGAACACATTTCTTGGGTCATTATCCTGTCATGGGCCAGTTTTTGTATGTGGCGATTTCAACGCGAGGCTTCACGTGCGGCGCCCAGGAGAGGAAGAAATTCTGGGCGCACACGTATTCGGCAACCCTCGTGCGCAGCATAACCCATCTTCAAATCGTTCTTTCTTGGTCGAGCTATGCACTTCTCGGGGCCTCGCTGTTGCAAACACGCTGTTCGACGAGCCGGCGGAGAGGCGGGTCACCTACTATGACATCGGTTCATCTCCGGCGGACCCCCCCACAGAGCAACATTTTGGCCAACTTGATTTCGTTCTCGTCAGCTCGGAGTGGAGAGGCTCGGTGCAACGAGTCTGGAGCGACCGCGCCGCAGCGTTGGCATCGCACCACTTCCTTGTGCAAGCCCGCGTCTTGATCGACATCCCCCGGACAGAGCCGAGGGCCGGCAAGAAGCGGAAGGACCATTCTGTTCTGCGGGACCCGAGCGCTGCGAATTCATTTGCCGAAGCCTTTTGCGAGCAGATGGGCTCCGACAGCGACGATGCTGTCGACGAGTCCGCCCAGCATTTGAATGAGCGGATGACCCAAGCATTCCTCTTCGCCGCCGACCGCGTTCTTCCTGACACGAAGCTGCTGCCCAAGAGGCCTTGGATCTCGTCGGGCACTCTTGCGCTCATCGAGAAACGCAACGCCGCTCGCGAGAGGGGGTCGCGTGAGGAAGAATGCGAGCTCGCCAGGCAAGTCCGGGCATCTGTGAAATCAGATAGGTCGCAACGGTTGGAAAGCAGCCTCGCCACAGGGGAGTGGGCGCCGATCCGGCAGCTTCGGAAAGGCGCCGCCTCGAAGCAAGGCCGGCTTGCAAACTCGAGCGGAGAAATCGTGGACTCGGACCAGCGCGCCGACACTCTGGCACAATATCTCGCCCAGGTTCAGTGGGCTGTCCGGCCGACGACAGTCGCCGAATTCACAGACAGCTTGGGTCCCACCTTACCTGTGTCGTGCGATCCCATCACCGAAGGCGAGGTGTTGGCAGCGGCTGCCAAGCTGAAGAGGGGAAAGGCAGCCGGCGCTGACGGAGTTCCAGGCGAGTTCTGGAATTCGATTTGCACTCCAGGGACCCCTGCCTGCAGGTGGGCGGTGTCTTTGTGCAGAAAGTGCTGGGAAGAACGCGTGGTTCCTGACGCTTGGCACAAGGCGCTGGTCGCGGCTATCTTCAAAAAGGGCGACGTTGCAAACTGCGAAAACTATCGGCCGATTAGCTTGATTTCAATTGGGTATAAGATGTTCGCGACAATTCTTTTGAACCGTCTGAAAGCAGGCGGTGCTGAACAAAGAGACTGGAGTACCCAGTTCGGTTTCAAGAGCAAGCACGGGACAGCGGACGCGATATTTCTCGTTCGTCGTTTACTTGAACGTACGTGGGCAGAAAAAAGCGGGCGCTTAGTCTTGCTGGCTTTGGACTGGGCGAGGCATTTGACAGTGTTTCGCCCGAGTCGTTATGCCTCTCACTGGAGCGGTTCGGCGTTCCCACCCACTTCACACAAGTCGTGCGTGCCATCTATACAGATCGTGCTTTCTCTGTCCGTGACGCCGGAAAAACATCCGAAGAGCATCCGCAAGCGTTCGGCATCAGTCAGGGTTGTCCGCTCTCTCCGTTCTTATTCGCAATATTGATGACCACCTTGTTGCGCGACGCAAAAAGAGAGGCAGACCCCGATCTGAATAAGAGCATGCATGTGCACGAACTTGTTTACGCAGACGACGCACTTTTGCTAGCCACCTCCGGAGAATCAGCCGGGGCGTACATGCATGCCGTACAACATATGGGGCAACAGTACGGTTTACAGCTTAATTGGCGCAAGCTAGAAGCCTTGGCTGTAGGTACCGACGTGTACATTCTCAAGCCGGACGGCACCCCGATCCCACAGAAGGGAAGCATAGTTTATTTAGGTAGTCTGATTAGCGACGACGGCAAGATAGGGTCACAGTTGTCGCGCCGCTTAGGAGCTGCAGGTGCAGACTTTGACAAATTGGCTAGGGTATGGAGCCATTCGACTCTCACGCGGCAGAAGAAGATTCACATTTTTGAGTCTTGCGTTTTAAGTAAGCTGTTGTACTGCCTGCACACTTCGTATCTTAATGAGCAGGAGATGCGCCGTTTGGACGCATTCCAAGCGCGATGTTTGCGCAAGCTGTTGCGCATTCCCCATTCATACGTCAGCAGAGTCTCGAACGAAATCGTGCTTCAACGGGCCAACGTCCGCCCTCTTAGCAACACGCTCCTCCGTAGACAGCTTCATTTTCTTGGTCACATCGCCAGAAAGCCAGGTGACGACGCTGTGCGTTGCGCAGTGCTCCAGCCCTTTTCCTCCCTCCTCCTCCCCCCGCCCACCCAGAGAAAGAGAGGGCGCCCACGAGCAACGTGGTCCCGGGAAGTTTACAGGCACGCCTGCGAAGCAGCTGGGGGTATGGAGGCCCTTCCGGCGCTGTGGCAGGACACCATTTTTTCGGTCACGGCGTGGCGTGTCGCAGTCAGCAAGTACTGCGATACCACGTGATAGTGGCTATGTGCTCATGTGCGTGTCGTACTCAGCATTTTGCTTGCTTGCTTGCCAGAAAATACTTGCAGGATTCGTGCAGGATTCGCGAGGCTTCCTGCGGATCCCTCAAAGGTGTCCGACTATTATTTGGAGTTCGATGCCCCCCAACAAAAAATGAATCAGTTGTTGTGTGAACGATCGGATTCCGAAGAATGCTTTCAGGATTCCTGAGGCTTCGTGCGGTCTCCTGCCAGTTGCTTGAGGATCCATCGAGGGCTTTGAGGTGTCGTAGGATTCGTGGAAGATCCGTCGGGATTCAGGACCCCAGAGGAATCTTCAACATTCCTGAAGTTCCATGCGGATTCTTCCCGGATTCCCGAAGACCTCAGAAGATTCCTGCAGGTTTGTTGCCGAGTCCAGGAGGATTCCCCAAGCTTCCACCATAGTCTTCAACGTTTCTTGTGGGCCCTTTTTTAGAGTCCGGGGGATTTGGAAAGATTCTGAAGGGTTCCAGGATGGTTTTTGAAGAAGGATCCTTACATATCCCTGCAGGGACTCCTGAACGACCCCCGAAGATTCAGAAGAATGCGCTGCTCCCCCCCAGAATTGATTAATTTCTGCGGGTGCTCACGATGTCGTTCGTTGGTTTCCCTCCCTCCGGACCTTTTTTTTGGTCGAACTAACAAGGGACGTTTCGAGATTTGTTTGTTACGCTTGTCACATGATCATCCTCATCCCCACCCACACGTTTAATCTTTAACGATAAAGAGCGGCGGATTCGGTCTACGTGCCCCCAGAGCCGCTCCAGGAGCTGTGGCACGTCGTGCCACCGCGCATCCCCCCTTCACCCTCCCCTCCCCCTTCCCCCCCCCCCTTTTGGCGCGCGGCGTCGTCCGCCGGCAAAACAAGTCTGGTCGAGGGTCCCTAACCATCTCCGACACCTCCCACTACCAGTGCGGGGGCAGTTTGCAAACCATGGCTCAGCGCGCACGCGCTTGGGCTGGGCATGCGGAGCTTATGGTTTGCTCCCTCTCCCGGTCATCGTCATCAGTATCCCCATGATCATATTCGAATGGTGTTTCCCATTGTGCGAAGTATTGTTGATCTCCAGCTGCCTGCAGGAAGTCTTGCCACCGTGCCAGCACAGCACTCGGGGTGGTGACTGTTCGACGGGGCATGGGAGGCAGTCGCGCGTGACACCTCGTGTTCCCAGGCTTGGAACAGCCTTGATGATGAGGATGATGAGGATTCGGATTCGGAAAAGCTGTGAAGCAACATGAACGACCGGAGCACTCGGGAGCGAGTTGGTGCTTTCCCCTAGGAGCCAGACCTCTCTCCGAGGAAGGCCTGTCACATGTGACATGTGGCAGGTCGTTGGGGCTCTCTTGGGCCGACTCGGTGCCCTTTTGGCCGCATTGGGGGTGAGGCCGTCTTGAATGCCTCTTAGGCTATCGTGGGGTCGGTCCCCTTGGGCCATCCTGGAACCCTCAGGGCAGCGTCTTGGGTCATCTTGGAGGTCTCTTGGGCCGCCTTGAGCTGACGGAGGCCCGAATAGGCGAGAACGCCCGTCGTAAACCGAAAACCATGATTCCAGTTCCTCTGGATGTTTGGATCCTTTTCGGGATCGCCTTCTGGCCCTCTTGGGCCTTCTTGGAGGCATCTTGGGCAGTCTTCAGGGAGCAGTTTGTCATCTTGGCTGCCTTTATTGCCTGCTTGGGCCGTGTTGGAAGCTTGGGACGCGGATCTGTCGTTATATTGAAAAGGCATCGTGGCCTCGGAGGCGGGCTGATGCATGCGCGTATTTACGGGCAGAGGGGGAGGATGTTGCCAATATCATATTGCAGAAACACTACCAGGCAGCCCTTGGCATTCCACAACGCCTCAACGTGCCAGGGGGCACGGTGGCGGATTATTCCTGTACTTCCTGTTCACACTGATATCGGTATACCCTTCATCCTCTCATCCTCGCTTTTCTGTTCCATCTCTGGCAGGCGCTCGGACTTCGATGCGCTCGGCATGAGCGGTTTTGCCCCGGTTGTGGGATTTGTCTTTGCAGCCGCAGAGGCGGGCAAGGGCGCTAGTTTGCTGGGGCGTGGGGCCCTGGGGGAGGGATGGAGGAAGGCAACGGCGGCTTGAGGCAGCGAGGGGGGAAGAGAAGGAGGAGGAGGAGGTGGAGGAGGAGGAGGAGGAGATGGAGGTGGAGGTGGAGGTGGAGGAGGAGGTGGAGGAGGAGGAGGAGGAGGAGGAGGAGGAGGAGGAGGAGGTGCGGATGGAACAGAAGGAGCGAGGGGGGAGGGAGGGGAGGTCGGCATCTGGACGGAGGTGAGGGAGACGGGGAGGTGAACGCAGGGAGAGGGGAGAGAGAGGGAGGAAGGAGATGAGGGAGGCCAGGGGGCTCGGGAACCGAAGGGGGAGCGACCACAAGAAGCTGACATGGTCGAGCGACCGCGCGAATTTCCGAAGGATGTTGCTGATGTGTTGATCCTCAGGGCCTCCGGGAAGGCACGGGGGGTCGGGCAGGACGGGAGGGGAGGCGGGGCGTCGGCATCTGCACCCCGGCGGGGCCGGCGCGTGGCCCGCAGTGCTGCCGGGCAGGTCAGGGACGCTGTTCGCCTGCGCCTCTCGCCTGCGCCCTGGGGCTCATCCCTCCCCCTCGCTCTTCATCCTCCCCCTCCTCGTTCCTTTGTCCTCTGTCGTCGCCTCTCTCCATCTTGCGTCCTATCATTCCCCCGTGCCTCGTCTTCACTCCTCGCTCTCCCCCTTTTCTCCGTCCTCTCCCTCTTGTCCCTGCTTTCCTTCCTCTCCCTCTTGTCCTTCTCCATCCACCTCCTTTCCATGTTCTTCGTCCTTACTCCTGACTTCTCTCTCGTCGTCCCTCCACGCTTCACCCTCTCCCCCCCCCTGGAGGAGGAAGGGGGGGAGAAAGGAGTTTGGACGGAGGGAGGTCGTGACGGCCGTTCACTCCATCACAATCAGGCCTCGGCTGGTTTCGCTCTGCATGATAGCACAATGCGTGGTGGCACGATTGGTCTGGCCGGGGCGTCCCCGCATGAGCCTATGATAATTCAGGAGAATTGTTCTAGATGGTTCTTTGTGTGCAACATAGGGAGATCGAATGCAGACGAAGCGTAGAGAGACAGAGGTCCGTGTCCAATCGCTACCGCGCGAACAGCTGTTTCAACGTAGCATTCATGAGCACGCGGCGGCGTTGCATTCACAAGATCGCCCACGTCAGCCCTCACATCCTTCCGTAAGCGTTGGCCGATCGAAACAATGCGTCTTGTCCATGTCTTCTCCTGGTGTTTCCACGGGGCGACTGTTGCTGGCCTCATTCGCCTAATGCCAGCAAGCTTCAGGCTATGTTTGTTTGTTCCCTTAAAGGCGTGTCTGACCGGTATACGCATATATATGTATATAAATATATATGTACCCTGTAACGCCCCTCACGGGGGTAGAAACCAATTGGGTGCAGTTTACTCCGTGGAGCGTCGTGTTGTCTCCTCCTCCACTCGTGTTCTTGCGCCAGACGTCCACCCCTGAGGCTCTCGGAAGTTTTCAGAAGGCTCGCTGGTGGTCAGAAAAAATGCCCTGGACATCGAAGACTCAATTATTCGAGGTTTCGTCTTCGACTCCGTTCCCAGAGCCCCGACGTGGTATCTGTTCATCGTGTCGGCGCCCTTGTTGTCGTGAAATTATCCTCGGAGGGCCTCTTTGTGACGCTCCCGAGAGAGGGGAGGAGGGAAGGAGGAGGGAGGAGGGAGGAAGACGGATGGGGAGGAGGCGGATTTCGCGCACGGCGCTATCGGAGCTATCGAGGCTACGGATGAGGTAGGAGGAGGAGGCGGAGGAGGAGGAAGAGGAGGAGGAGGAGGAGGAGGAGGAGAAAGAGGAGGAGAAGGAGGAGGAAGAGGTGGAGGAAGGATTTGAAGCAGGACGGATGAGGAGAAGGATGACGACGACGAGCAGCAGGAGGAGAGGAAATGACGCCCGTCCTGCAGCCTCTTGATGTCGCCTTGGCTCTCCTAGAGCGTGCTGGGGGTCCTGTGACCTGTTTGGGCTCTTCGGGGCCTCTTGGGGCCTCTTGGAGCCTCCTGGGCCCTCTGGAGCTCCCCGAGTGTAATTAAAAGTGGGTCCTCCGGGGGGGCTCTTGAGATCTCGTGGGCTCTCCCGGGGCCGCCATGGGCCCTCCTGGAGCCTCCGTGGGCCCTCTAACTAAGAACTCTCTCGCGGGGGCGGAATGATGAAAACAATTTCACGCATGGGGCCTTTCCGTTGAGAAGGGGGGCGCGGTGCAGACTGGGTCCTCCTGGGGCCCTCCGGAGATCTCCCATGCACTCCCGAGGCCGACATGGGCCCTCCTGGAGCCTATGGGGGCCTCCAAGGAGCCTCTCGCGGGGGCTGAAAAATGACGACAGTTTCACGGATGGGAGCCTTTCCGTTGAGAAGGGCAGCGCGGTGAAAGGTAATAAAGTGACGACAGTGTCGCACTTGAGGCCCCAAATCGTCCTTGGGCACCTCGGGCGCGAATCCCGCTCCCCCATAGTACGGTGCGATTTCCCCTCCCCCCGCTGTCCCGCCCCACCCTGGGAGGGTGATTTTTGTGGTTTTCGCTTGTAAGAAACACTTCCCCCCCCTTCTCGACGGTGACGGAGGGCAGGCGGCGGGGGTGGGCGGCTTGGCGGGGTGGCGGGTTGGCTGGGGCTGCGGGGTGGCTGGTTGGGCTGGTTGCGCCGGTTGAGTTGTTCGGGTGGCTGGCTGGTTGGGCTGGCTAGGGCAATTGGTTTCGATTATCATACGCACCTCTCCGAGGGAGTAGAGCTCAGAGCCGATTAATTGAAGGCGGCGTTCGCGATTTTTCTGGCCGTTTCGCTAGGGACATCCTGGAAAATCTGAAAATCGGTGGCACCCCTCACGCGGATCGTGACGTCAGGGTCCAAAAACACATGGGAATTTCAACATTCTAACGTAACACCTTCAACAACACATTGTAATTTCAATGATTTTGACCCTGATTCTCAGAGGATGGCGATTTCGCCTGAGACATCCTCCTAAAATCGAGCCCCGACGTACCTTCTGGTACCCCAGACCCCGCCTCGGAGCCTCTTGGGAGCCTCCTGGAACCTCCTGGGGCCTCCTGGGGCTGTCTGTACCTTCTGGTACCCCAGACCCCGCCTCGGAGCCTCCTGGGGGTCTCCTGGAACCTCCTGGGGCCTCCTGCGGCCTCCTGGAGCCTCTTGGGGCCTCCTGGAGCCTCCTGGGGTCTTCTGGGGCCTTCTGAGGCCGCCTGGGGCCTCCTGGGGCCTCCTGGGGCCTCAGAACTACATGCACACACAGAGACACAAATCACACCCAACACATCACACGCTAGACAAACATAACACACACAACACCTACAATGCACAGAAAACACGCACAACACAGAGCAGACATCACACACGCACAACACTCACAATCCCAGGGCCTCCTGGAGCCTCTTCCGGTATCCAAGTCGGGCCTCCTGAGGTTTCCTGGGGGGCCCTGGTACACACATCGCAAGGTGTGGCAACCCCACTTGCGCTCGAGTGCGACCTCGATCTTAGATTCTTCTGCGTTCACCTCCTGCCTCTTCCCCTTCTCTAGGCACGCCCTGGCAGCACCGCCCCAGCTTCCCCTTCTCCATCTCCGATCCTGCAGTCATGGTGTCTTCCTGCTTCAAACGCCCTTTCAGTTTTTCTTGTATGGGCCTGGGCACACACTTGCCACTTGTGCATCCTTAGTTTTGTCATGTCTACAGATATACACATTTTGTATTGCCCAATCAGTGCTTGCACTGAAGGGGTCCTAGCGGATATTGAAGAAGAAGGCGAATGTTTCACGCCGATTTTTATGGCAGGCCGGGTTCCCGGATTACTGGTTCCGGGTTCCCGGGTTCCCGGTTCCCGGGCCGATTTCGGTCGGCGGCGAGGTTCCCAGGTTCCCGGGTTCCTGGTCGATCTTCTTATCGATCGGTCTCAGCATCGATCTCATTTCCCACCTCTCTGTCGATCTCACCATCGATCTCACAATCGATCTCACAATCGGTCTCGCAAGCGATCTCGCTAGAGATCGCACGAGCGATCTCGCGATCGATCTCCCTATCAATATCATTGAATCGATTTCACTCTCGGTGTCACCATCGATCTTACAATCTTCAACTGTCGATTCCACTATCGATCTCATTATCGATTTCACCATCGATCTCAAGATCCATATGACCAATGTTCAAATCATCCACTGATTGGGTTTTCTCAGGTGCGCGAAACAATCATATATTTATATATGAAACAGCGCACCGGGTCCCTGGCCCCCGGGGCCGCGACCTCGACCGCAAATGTGTGTGTGCGTGCGTGCGTGCGTGTGTGTGTGTGTGTGAATATGTATGAGTGTGTGTGTTGTGTGTGTTGTGTGTGTTGTGTGTGTTGTGTGTTGTGTGTGTGTGTTGTATGTGTTGTGTGTTGTGTGTTGTGTGTGTTGTGTGTGTGTTGTGTGTGTGTGTGTGTGTCTGTGTGTGTGTCCATGTCTGCGTCTGCGTGTGCGTGTGCGTGTGCGTGTGCGTGTGCGTGTGCGTGTGCGTGTGCGTGTGCGTGTGCGTGTGCGTGTGCGTGTGGGTGTGGTGTGTGTGTGTGTGTGCTGGTGTGTGTGCAGGCCATTGGGGGGCCCCACAGGCCAACAAAACTGACGTTTTTACCGTACTTGTGTTGTTCGTCTTCGTGCCGTCCTTGACAACCTCAGGGGCCCCTAAGATCGCCCCTACACGGCCCAAGAGGCCCCCCAGAAGGCGCCAAGACGGCCCAAGAGGGTCCCAGGCCGGTTCCAGAGGCACCCCAGACGGCCCCAACGGCCACCCAGAGAGCTCCAAGAGGAGCCCAAGATGGGGCAATCCAATTGGAATTGCGAGCCCCACGCCCCAAGAGGTTCCCCGAGACCCCCAAGAGGGCCTAAGCAGCCAACACGAGGCCTCCAAGACGCCTCATCACCCGTGCAATTTGACCCCCCAGAGGGCCTCGAGAGGCAAACATGGCTCCATTCCTTTCGTAAAACGTGCATGTTAACCGCATTTGTGTTTTTCGTCTTCGCACCGTCCTTGACAGCCTCGGGGGCCCTACGATCGCCCGAACACGGCCCAAGAGACCCCCCAGAGGGCGCCAAGACGACCCAAGAGGGTCCCAAGACAGTCCCAGAGGCGCCGGAGAGGGCCGAACGGCCTCGCAAATGGCCCCCTGAGGAGCCCGTGCTGGGGAAATCCTGTTGGAATTGCGAGCCCACCGCCCCAAGAGGACCCCCTGAGGCCCCCAAGAGGCCCTCAAGCAGCCCTCAAGAGGCTCCCAAGACGCCTCACAACACGTGCAGTTTGCCCCCTCAGAGGGCTTCGCAAGCTAGCATTTTTACCATATTTGTCTTTTTGGTCTTCGTACCGTCCTTACCGACTTCAGGGGCCCCCAAGATCGCCCCAAAACGGCCCAGGAGGCACCCCAGGGGGCGCAAAGACGACCCAAGAGGGCCACAAGACGGTCCCAGAGCCACCCAAGACGTCCCGAATGGCCTCCCAAAGCGCTCCGAGTGGAGCCCCAAATGGGGGAATTCAATTGGAATTGCGAGCCCCCCGCCCCAAGAGGACCCCCAAGGGACTCCCAAGATGCTCCCACGAGGCCCCCAGAGGCGCCCAAGAAGCCCCCCAGAGACCCGTAAAACGTTTCAAACTGGCGCATCGATGATGACGACGACGGCCACTTGGCGCCCGGCGCCGCTTGGCCGGGCGGACCCGCGCGCACGTTGGCGCGCGGAGCCTCTGGCGCTGCCAGGGCTGGAGCAGCCCTTGACCTTGACCTTAGAAAGGGCGTGTTCTACCGCTGCTAGGGGAAAACTGGGGGGAGTCACTGGGGGTTCCCATCCTGTCCCACCCCCCCGTCCATTACCGGTTCGAACCGGTTCGAACCCCCCCCCCTCCCACGTCTCGC